TGCCTGGTGATGCAATGATCAATTTGCTCCATCATGCAAAGCTGTCCATTCATCACAGGCATTGACTGCCAGTTGCTCTCACCTCTTTATTGGCACCAACAGAGCAGGTCCTCTGCAGGTCCCTGCTGAGGAGCAGCGTGAAAAAGGGGCTTCCCCTCTCCCCCAAACTCCTGGCTGAAGGTCCCTGCAGCACTGAGCATCCAGAAATCACAAACTGCTCCTTTCCAGGAGAAAAAAAAAAAGCAGGGGGAAAAAAATACCAGGTTCTCAAGGCATTTCCTGCACAAATGTCAGGAAGAGCAGGCAGAGTGCCTTCTGCCTGCATGGTGTACCCCACTGGCATATCCCACGGGGACCAGCCCAGCCCATCTCCCGACCTTCAGGGATGCTCACCTGCAGCTGCACCCATTGCCCTGTGCCCCTGCAGATAAGACACAAGCAGATGAGCTTTGCTGCTGAGATAGTGTGGCCACAGTAAGGCTGTTTCCCCTCTCCTGGCCCAGATTCCCTTTGCCTTTTTCATCCAGTTCACTTTTCATCCTCCTCCGCTCTCAGGGAGCCTCACACCACAGTGCTCACTACAGACTTGCAAAATCGTAAGTGCCCAAAATCACTGCAAAACCCTTGCAAAATATCACCACAAAACCCCTGTAGGGCTGGGGCAGCAGTGGTGTCACAAAGGGCATGGCAGAGCTGAGCCAGCAAATGCCACAGGCAGGGAGTAAAAGCCTTTCTCCCATCCTTGGCACAAGACGGGACTTCTGCAGGCACAGAGTTGGGGAGCAGAGCACTCTGCCTCCAAGAGAATTGAAAATAAAATAACAAACAAATAAAAAAAACCCCTAGAAATAAAAAATCCAGTTGATTGTACTTTGGCAAAGAATTCAGAGAGCAAAGGGGCTCACTTGGGAGCAAAACGAAGATGAATCGACAGCGAGTTCAAGCGAATTCATTCTGCCGCTGAACACTTGTCTCTCCATCAGGACATCTCAAAGGCTTGTCAAGCGAAGGCAAGGCTTTTATTTGTTTCTATGGTTGCCATAACGATAGAACTATATGTCATGTCAGGCAGCAGCTGAGGCTCGTGCCTCTGATTTATAGCTGCTCACCAGAAATTACCAACTTTTCTGCAGAGCGGGTGGCACAGTGAACCAGGACCACCGGGTGTTTGCCTGTGCTGTGCTCTGCCCCCTCAGGTTAGCCCTCCTCTTGGTCCCCCACAGCCAGCTGTGCCCCAAGGGATGCTTTTATTATCCCCTGCAGGGATGCTTTTATTGTCCCCTGCAGGGATTTTTGGTGCTGGGGTTGTGGGTCCTCCCAGTAGCTGCCACAATTAGAGCAATTTCTGGCCCCCTAGGACAAGCTGTACCTTCTGAAGGGCCAAACAGAGATGGCAAGGTGTTTAAGGAAGGCCAGCAGAAGGACTAAATACCTAATAGTAATTTGTTTAAAAAAGCAGAGAAACTTCTACGTCTACCACCAGGTTATGGGAGAAATATAAATAAGAGAGGGATGGGAGCAATGGAGAGAGGGAAACAAAGAGGGGTCTTGAAAACAAGTGAGGTAAGGTAGGATCAGGAGGTATTTATTGTCCTGGCAGGGGATGTGCCACAGGGACAGTCTGCCCATCCTGGGAGCTGGTCTCCAGCCCAAGGCAGAGGCTGCCTAGCACGGGGGAAGCCCTGCAGCACTGCTGGCCAACCTCATCTGAACAAAGATGCCACTGTTAGCGTGGCTGCCACGATCCCAGGCATGTGACCAGTGTGACTGTCCTGAGGAGGACCAGACTCTGGGTCGAGGAGGGGACACTCAGCATGGTCATTGATAAATTATATATGCAAGTTTCCTTAACTCTAAGCACCCTGCTTAATTTATGACGCACAGCCCTAAAAACTCCAGCACTGAGTTCTGCACGCAAAGTCCTGTCCCTCTCAACCCTCAGGACATGTGGGAGCACGAAGCCCCTTGCCTCCTGTTTGTAGGAAGTTTATTTAATGACTTGGCTGCAGCAGTGGAAGGAGGTTTGGGCCCCTCATCCCCATCCACCGAAGCACAGAGGCAGTTTGGTGCACTGCTCAGCAGTGAAGCACACGGAGAACAGCACCAGAGTCAGCATTTCCCCAGAGAGCTGCTGAAAGGCCGAGCCCCACCTGCCCCTCTGCAATCTCCAGCGTCTTCATAAAAACACAGGGCCACGTTTGAACCTTTAGCCCTCTGAGTTGTAAAGACTTCATCACTTGTTTTCTCCGAGCCAGGCTTTCTGCAATTTCCTTCCATTAAACTCTTCAAGACAAGCGACCTCCGAGCCAAAGGTGTCAGACTAATGAAAGGTCTGCAGGAATGCAGCACGCTCCTTATTAAAGGCACAGAAGAGACACAGGACTGAGCCACCATCACCACATTACAGGACAGCAAACAGGGCACTCTGGGTGCTGAGACACAGCCGTGTTGCAGCTGGTGTAACACAGCCCAGGGTCTGCCCCATGGCATGGAGATGTGACTCTATTAAAGCCCAAGCACTGCAGGTTCAGGAAATTCAGGAAGAATTTCTTCACTGAAAGGGTGCTTAAACACTGGAACAGGCTGCCCACAGAGGTGGTGGAGTTCCCATCCCTGGAAGTGTTCAAGAGATGACAGGATGTGGCACTCAGTGCCATGGTTTAGTTGCCAAGGTGGCGTTTGGGCAAAGCTTGGACTTGATGATCTTGGAGGTCTTTTCCAACCTTGATGATTCTCTGATACACCTACAGGAGCTCCCAGCATGGAGGGTCAGCAGCACTACCACAGTCCCACAGCCAGGGAACAGGTCCCCTCCATGCAGAGGAGTGGTTGAGTTTGAACATCGACACGTGTTCACCTCTGATGGTTGATCTGATGTGACGGGTCATCACCTGAACATCTGAACCACCAAAACTGCTGCATTACAGCTCCCTTGAGAAGCTGCCAACACTTGTGTCATTCCACAAATGACAAAGCAAAGTGGCTGCAAGATAAGCAGCTCTAAAAGTACCTTTCTCATTGTGCGAAAGAACCTCAGAGGAAGTTCTCAGAGACAGGTCAACGTGGTGTCCATGAGCACCAAACACAACATTGACCCTGCTCACCACCTGCAGTGGATCTGAACAACCCCAGCATTAGCTCCTTTGCACCATCCCACTCCACTCAGGAGGTATCACCTTGGTTTCCACCCACCCCGGGGTGCTCAGGACCCCAAGCTTGCAGCTGCACCTTTGAGAAGTGTTTAAGTTCTCCTGCAGAAATATTAGATCGCTTTTCGCTTCTCACTGTATCTGTGAAACCTTCCATAATTCAACATCAAATATTTATTATTACGTTTATTAAAGTTTTAATAATTTAGAAACTCCTGTGTGTAAGATACAAGCGCTGTGAACTCGCCTCCCCTTAATTCTACCTGAGTCACTCCAATATTTATACCTGGAATTCTCAGTTCAGGTTCCTTTTATGAGGGGAGAAGGCAACAACCTCAATGGCAGAACCTCCCCTCCTCCTGCCTGGCATTCATCCATCCTTCAGAGACTTTTCCACGAGGATCAGTGCCCAGAGACAATTACTGCACTGGAGCAGAAAACAAGCTTCCGAGCCTCTACCTTCACTGAGGTCCTTTTAATGAAGATGTGAGGAGGCAAGAAAGAAATAATGTTCTCCTGGCATTTTGGCTTGGAAAATGTTAACATAAACCAAGGCAACCCTTCTCCTTCTCAAATGAAAAGCAGAAGTTGTTGCAGACAAGAAAAACAACGCTCCTAAGAGAGCCAAATTGTGATAGATATGTACCATCAGTCTCTTTTTGAAGGAGAGGGAACAAGCACTGATTAGCAACAAAAACACACTCTTGGAAGCGAAGACCTCTTGGATGCCAGTCCTGGCTCTGCCATAGCTTTTGTAGGCACTTGCTTTAACCACAGCCCTGCCAAGATGATGGTATGGAAGAATGGAAATCCACCACCCCACCACTCTGGGAAAAGACAAGACAGAAGGGGCTGGGGGACACAAGGATCCCGTTGGTACCCAGGAAGACGATTCACAACACAGGCAAGAATTTTCAAGTCAGGAAATTGTGTCTGGAGTCAACTGGAGAAAGCAGCAAGAAGGAAGGAAGAGAGGGAGGAAGGGAGGGAGGGGTCATGGAGTCTCCCTGGCACCCAACACTCACATTCTCAATCTTAATTTAATGGGATAGAGGGGAATACGCGCTAAATACCTTCAGAATTAAACCCTTATAGTTGACAGTTAAGCCCTTGTAAATCAGACCAAGGAGGACAATGACCAGCAAGGTGATCACCACCTCTTCTCCAAGGCCCCTCTTTCCAGCTGGGGCACAGAAGGCAACTGATGTGCCTGGCTCCTTCTCCAGGGACCTCCTTTGCCCACACTCAGCCCAGTCTCTCAGCAACAGCCTCTCCCTCCACCAGGGCAACTCTCCTCCTGCAATGCCCTCTTAGGTCCCGCTTCAGAACCAGACTATCCCAAGTCCAAGGATATTTGCTTAAAATACAAACTGGCCAAAATGGGGGAGCCAGAAAAATATCCAGGCATTTACTGAACTCCAGGAAGTAAAAACCCCTCTAATTGTACAGTAATTGGATGAGCAACAGAGCCATTCACCCCTCATGAGCATCCCAGCAGCTATCAAAGGCCAGGTGGATGTGATGTATGTGTGAGTTTCAGAAAGATGACAGCACCTCCATCCTGGTAAATGCATCCATTTAAGCACTGCAATCTAACATTACATTTAAGCCACTTTAAAATTGCCTTCTCCTACCGATTCACCTGTCTGTACTGGCAGACTTCAGAGTTACACACTCAGGCCTGGCCTAGACCCATCAGACCAAAGAGCCTGGAGGGCCATCACATCACATTTCTTATTGGAAGAAAAATTAATCAAACCTATCATCATAGAAATTACTGCATCCTCAATAACAATTTAAAGAGCGGTGTAGTCACTCAAGCATGAAGAAAACGAGAAATCTGCTTCCTACCTGACATCTGCTGGATCTTCCGTCACCAGAACATCTGTCTTGCAGCTGGCAAGAGGATTGATGGAAAGCTCCACAGGGGGCACTACGAAGCTCTTACTGACTGGAAGCCACAGCCCTTGACCCAAACTATAGGTAGACCTGGAATAAGGGCAAACGTGTCACAAAGGAACAGAGTGTCCTCAGGGAATGGTGGCTCTCCACTGCACCTGCCCACCTTGAAGTCAGAGCAGTGGTGGCACCACAAGAGATAAGTTAGTAATTTGGGCTTGTCCTGAAAGCCAAATGGGAGAGGAATAATGGTATTCCCCTCCCCGTGCCAAACTGGGAGTTGGGCTTCGATGATCCTTGTGGCTCCCTCCCAACTCAGGATATTCTGTGATTCTATGAGATGCAACAGAAGGGGATGGCCAAGCTCTTCTTTTCAGCCCACAGGGACTCTCTGTGCACATTGGCCTTGTGTTTGCTGAGGGGACAAGAGGGGAACCCTTCTCTGCCTGATAAATCTTTCAGGTCTGTGACAGGCAAATGACACTCTTGTGCCCCTGCCAGCACAACAAGACAGAGCTGGGAGTGACCAAGAGGTTGCATCTGCTGGCATGTCTTCATGGCTCTCCCCACCCAAATGTCCAAGATGAACCCTCCTCTGACTCACCTGAGTATCTTCTCTGGCGCCTGCTCTCCTGTGACCAAGTCATATCCCCGCTCCAGCGTTGTGTAGGGCCACGGCCTGGGAGGAGGGATGGAGAGAGCAGCTGAGCACATCACTCAGCAGGAAAGGCAGCACAGCCTGGTCCCAGGTCTCTGGGGCCAGTGATCACCCGAGGGGAGGAGAATCAGGCTCCTCACCACTGTGGTAGAGCCAGGACAGAGCAAAGCCACCCTCCTGTCCCCACTCACCCTTCGCTGTGTCCCCAGTCACTGCGCACACACAAGTGCCGGTGGACGGGGTCTGGGGCGTACCCTTCGTGGCAGCTGCACTCTCCTAAAAGAGAAGAGGGAAGGATGAGACCTTTCTGGCCCAGAGGCACATCAGTGACTGCAGAGTTGGACCCTCCTCCCTTGCTGCCCATCTCTGCATGTTCACAGCCACTCCTGCTCCCCGCTATGGATCTGGAGCACTTTGGACCCCAGAAACCTCTGAGAGCCATGAAGGAGGAGATGAGGAGATGTGGAAAGCTGCAAGAAACCTGTAGTTATTCTGGGATGGATTACATGATGCAGCACCCACAATAGCTGGGAATGAGGTTTCATGATGCAAAAGGTCTGTCCTTACCTAGTGTTCCTGTGCAGCCCTGCAGCTCTCCAGGCTGAGCAAACCTCTGTTCAATGGCCCCCAAGAAATATTCCCCACAGAGATGTACCCACGTGGATCCAGCCCCTGGCCTGAGATCTACCCACAGGTCTGGCAGAGGGGCTGCTCAGGAGCCAGGGGCTCACTCCTCAGCAGGGATTTTGACCTTGCTTGAGCAGAACCAGTGTCCAATCCAGTATGAACTGAGGAGGGATGCCCCAAACCCATTCTGGTCACATCCCTTTCCCATCTCTGCTCCTGGCACCTCACACAGGATGGGGCAGCAGAGTCTCCTGCAGCCCAAACTCCCACAGGAGGATGCAGAACCCCTCAAACTCTGTCCTCCACAGGCAGTTCCCCTGCCATGCCTCCATCCCACAACAAAAGGGCTCTCAGACCTGCTCCCCTCCACTCTCTGGGTGCTGCCTCACCCTGTTACACCCTTTTGACAGCAAGAGAAGACATTTCCCACACCAGAAACCCGCGTGTGCTTGGCCCAAATTGATTCAGTGTTTGGTAGAAATACATAACCCGGAGCAAGAAACAGCAAAATCAAAAGATTAATTGGATTTGCACGTGGAGTTTCTGCTACAAGCTGGTGCCAATGTTTTTCCTCCCTCCCCTCCTCTCCCCTCCGTGCCTGGCTGTGCAGCAGGATGAGCTGTAAACACAGGAGGGGTGTTGGGAGGGGGGTACCCCCAGCACAGTGGCAATGCAGACTGGCAGGTGCCTTGGTGCTCATGGGGATCCTAAGCAAGTTCTTAAAATGCCTCACAGGGATTACAGTAAAGAGCTTTATTGTCAGGGGGGAGCGAGAAGGGGATTCAACTGCTGATATTTTTGGGGAAGAGATGCCTGAAAAGGGAGAGGCAGCAAAAAAAGGAAAGGGGTGGGGGGGGAAGAGATGGCTAATGATGTGCTAAAATGCAACAGCACCTTCATGAAATATTCACTGCCTCAAACGCGTCTAATATTAAAGATTAAATGTCCTGGGATTTGTCCTAGCGACTTCGAAGCACTGATTTATGATCTGTCAAAAGCTGCTAACCTTATGATTCATAACGGGAGCGGCAGGAACATTGCTCCTCCAAAGGGAAAGAGCTGGGAGAGAGATGGTGGCGCTCGGCCCTGCTCAGGCTCAGCCCTGCCTGGGGGCTGGGGCGGTCTCGGCGCAAGAAAACACAGGTCCTAATGGCTCCATCAGTGATTTTAAAAAAAGAAAAGTTATTTTTTCCTTGGGTGCTTAGTGCGCAAGTTTCCCCAGCCGTGCCGTGGATCATTAATTCCTGGTGCTTATTACATAACAAATATATGCTCTGCAAATGAGAGACATCTCAAAGTGCTTGCGAAGCAGAGCTGGGAGTCTTGGGGCACCGGCTCACGCTCAGCTCCTGCCACAGAAATTAGAGCAAGTAGGGAAAAACCACCTACAGAGGTTGGCATCCGGTAGCCCCAACGCCTCCCCCGTATCGATGGCTGGGGGTGCTGGTGCTGAACCCCTTCCCTGTGGTGCAGGAGGGTTTATTTTCTCTGCTGGCTTGTTTACTGCTCTGTCAGTTTGGCGTCGGAAGGAGAAACTCTATCAACCTGCAGAAATATTGATTTTATCGACTCCAATCTCGGAGTTTCAGCAGCTACAGCCGGTGCTCGAGGCTTTATCGGGAGGTTTATTGGGAGGTTTATTTCAGTAAGTGAGAGGGCAAGTGGTGGCACCGGTTGGGCAGGAGACACAGGGCGGGTGACAAGGAGGACTCCAGGGAAAGCCACCCACAGCACAGAGACTAGGGATACCTGCCTCTCTCTCTAACCACTCGGGACCAGCTTTCCACAGGTTTTCCAGGGAGATCTACACCCCTTTGGAAGAGTTTTAGAAATTGGATAGGGAAGCTCCCAGCACAGGGTTGGCTGAGCGTTGCAGTCTGCTGGAAGTGTGGGGACTCCATCTCCTGAGGATAGATGGTTTAGGATCTATTCCTGTATCTACAACCACAAACAGACAACTCTAGTGGGGCTTCCAAAAAACCTCAGCAGAACCTTCTGTGCTCTTACAGATTCTCAGGAGCTTTTGCTCTCTCCCCATCAGAATCCACCCTCCTCCTTTGGCCCCCTGAACTACTCTGTTATTTTCAGTCAGTTCCCATCCTCCCTGGGCATGATGATGAGCCAAGGAGGATGCTGAGCCTGGCTAATCCCCATGGAATGAGAAACATCTGATAAAGTGCCCAGAGTGGCAGGAACAGGGGTTCCTGTACCTCTAACCCCTCTTAGGGTGTGTTGTTAAACAAACCACCAAACAGCAGTGCCTCTGTTCAGAGACACTAAATCCTATATGGTTCTGAGACAGACACAGTTATCTGCTCAGCATTGCTGCAGCTAAGTTAGGATTCGAGCTGAGGTTAAAGCGAAAGTCAACTAAAGTAACCAAGTTTGACAAATAGCCACACCTGAAGCTGGATGCAATTTCCACAGGTCCTGCACACGCCTCTCTGCACAGCGCAAATGAATCAGGATCTACCAACGGCTGTGACAAGCATCCTGCCTCTGCAGCCACCACCCCACACCCTGTCCATGGTAAAAACACAGGCCTGTGTAGTCCTTCCTCTGCCTTTGGATTCATAAGGCACAAATCAGGTATGATAATCCATGGCAAATTTTCAGCTGTTATAGGAAAGGGAAGGGTTGCTGCTCGCCCAGTTTAAGCAAGGGCAGATCCTGGTGCTCAGCTCTGGATGTCCAATGTTCTATTACCATTTAAACAAAATGCTGGGAGGGGAAGGAAAATCTCTGAATAAAGCAGGAAATGCAGCACCATAGCCCTAGCGAGAGGCCCTGAAAACACATCATTCACAGAATCACAGAATGGTTTAGGTTGGAAGGGACCACCGGTGGGGTCATCTGGTCCAACATCCGTGCTCAAACTCATGGCACAGGATTGTGTCCAGATGGTTCTGGAATATCTCCAGTGAGGGAGACTCCACACCCCCCCTGGGCAGCCTGTTCAGTGCTTGGTCACTGGCACAGTAAAGAAGTTCTTCCTCATATTTAAGTGGAACTTCCTGTGCATCAGTTTGTGCCAGTTGCCTCTCATTCTATTGCAAAGCCTGGTTCCACTCTCTCTTCAGATACTTATTATATATCTCTAATATATAGATACATTCCTGTGACACCTACAGCTATGTGGATGGGCAAGGGAGGAGCTGAGGCCATGGGAAGCACTCACAGCAGTGAGTTCTCCATCCTCCCCTACTCCCCTCTCCTGACTGACTTACACAACATCTCATCACAGACTGTGCTGCCATGACTAATTACAGGTGACACGGAGCCTCCGTGCCAGTTTCTGCTCAGGGAGAGTGAACTCGTTGTTTGAAGCAGCAGGACACATCCCCAAACACCACAGACACATCTCACCTGCAACCTTCCTCCTCTGTGCCTTCATCCCCATGGAGGCTGGTGGGAGAGATGACCGACAGCTCAACCCAGTGCCCCATCCAGAGCCCCATGCAGAAAGGTAGGAGTGGGGAGCACATAGATCCTGGAGAAATGTCTGTCACTCCTGCCCTCAGCTGGGAAAGGGAGAAGGATCTGGAAACTCATCTGGAGGAACAGGGCCAATTAGGGACACAATCAACCCAGTTTCTGCATGCAGGCGTGAGCTGCCTCTGCCCGTCTGAGCAAAGCGTTTCTCATGTGCCTGTGCTCCGTGCTGGCTTCAGTGCTGGAGCTGCAGAAGGGCAGGAACAGGCTGCAGCCAGCGTTAGCATCCATGGATTTTGGCTCAGGGTCGGCCTATGCTGAGGCTTGCTCGTGCCTGAAGGAAACAAATGTAACGCAAGCCACATCCGAGCTCACCACCTCCAGCGGCACAGGAACGGTGCAAAGGACAACAGCCCTTCAGCTCCTGCTGCATCTTGACCAGCACAGCTCAAGGCTTTAGCTCTCTTTTTTTTTTTTTTTTTATATCTAAGCTGGAAGTTGCTAAACTATTCTTCCATTTTTGCTCACCACACTGTGCTGCTGCTTCTGCTCAGAGGGGGAACAGGGTATCCTACTCCACCCAGATCCTCCCTGCCCAGGAACAGCAGAGCAGGGCTGAGGGACAAACTGCCAGTGTGCCAAGTAATCCTGTTAGACTCGTTAGGGCAAGAGCCGATCCGTGGTGATAATGCTGCAAGATCCCCCTAATCCACCTGCCCAGTGCACAGCGTGAAGTGGAGGCTCCCTGAATCCCTGTGCTCCCAGGGAAGCTGCTCTTTGCTGTCATTGGCGATTCTATTTAAGGAGCTGGAGGAGCTTTGGCTGTGGTGCAGCAAAGTTGTGGCTCATCAGCCTTCTCCTGGCACTGCTGGTGTCTGTGATTCCCTGCTCCACGGCAGCACCTCCATCCCTGCTGCTCACCCTTGTCCTGGTGGGATGCCCTGCAGTGCCAGGGTCATGTTCCAGCTGCAAAGGCACCATCCTTGGGCAAGTCCAGATCCCAGCTGGAGGGGAAGCCTGTTCCTGAAGCCTGGAGGGCTATAAATACACACTTGCATGAGCATTGCATGTACACACACTTGCTTAAGGGCTGCCTCTCCACCTGAAGCGATGCATGGTCTGGCCCCAGCTTTTCTGGTCCCCTCCTCTCTGGACACACACCCCCCCCCAGGGGACACACCAGCCCCAGCAGAGCACCCCCAGTGCCAGTGAGAAGG